CTTTTGCTTTCTTTCTTTCTTCCCAATTAAAAGGTAATAGTTACACTTCATACAGTTGAAGGAGCCATTTAAAGATTAACACGGTTTGTGTGTCAGTCAACAGTCACAAAAAGAGATTTTCACTTACTAAAATAAAAATTTCACATAGTATCCACATACAAATACTTTCACAGGCCTCCCAAATATGTTGTTCAGCTGCCATCCTACACAGATGGCAACTGGTTAAGCAAATAAAACACATTTACCTGCATTCAGATGACATTTTTGAAAGTTCAGATAGATTGAAATCTAATACTAACTTCTTAACACAAAATAAAAGAGGTAACTGCAGCTTAACAGAATGCATTTTGCAATCAAACTGCAATTCTTCAATTATGCTACAGTTAACGTTCCTCTTAAAGCATGCAACCACATCATTATTAAGCAAGCAATCTGGGGTCTTTGAATATATCTGCTGAGATGAAACATGCCAGATTTGCCATTATATGCTTTCAGTGAGCTGCTGTTTGCATAAATATGTTGCATAAAGACACCTGTGCATCTCTGCAAATGTATTTTTTTAAAATGCAAGCAAACTGACAAATGGTCCTTTTACACTGGGTTATACTTTCTTAAAACCACCCAACCGTGCACAGAACTAATTCAGCTGGTGGCATCTAAATATTTTTCATTTTGTTACACAAATTTCCCAAGAGTAAAAATACCAAAGCCTAAAATTAGGAAAAAAATACAACACTCTAGTCAAAATTAATTAACCTCTACAAAAAAGCAAGTTACCTGGTATTTTCTTGTAGAAAGGGCAGTATTTTTTCCTTGGTCCTTCACCTGTAGTAGGTAATTCTTTAAATTTTTTTCTCCACCTTCGTTGGCCACCAGAACTTACATCTGCAACGGCTTCATTTTTACTTGAACTTTCTGTAACTTCTTCTACATCTTCCACAGACCCCTCAGCTTTCCTTTTTTGCTGTCTGGGCCTCTTTCCATTGGGAGTTACTGAACTTGGTATCTGCTTTCTCTCACTCAAACACGTCTCTCTTTTACTTTCCTCTTTTACTTTGGGTTTTAACCCAAAGAAAACACCAATGTCCATTTGTTTAAGTTCTTTGGCAGGACTGGATTTAACATTCATGTTTGCTACAGAATGAGATGCCATTGACTTAGAGTTGGTGCTGGGAAAGCACACAGCAGCTGTATTAAGATTTCCTTTTTTCTCCACTACTGTCTGCAAACTCTCCTGGTGAGCTGTTTCTTCAATTGCATTGGCAGTCACTTTATCTGTATTAATTAAAATGTTACTTGGCTCCCTCAAAACGTTACTCTTATGTGGCAGAAGGGAGCCAGCATCTTCTCTGTCTAGCAGTGATGATGCCTCAGGAAAACTCCTGTATGCAGAACCCAAAGCACAGGCACCAGTACCTCCTGACTCCGTGTTACCCGCTTTAGCATCAGAGGAAATCAATCCTGGCTGTTCATCCTCCTCACAATTAGGAGTAAAAGAGGACCCACTGGCTTCCACCCCTTGCTGATGATCCAGATGGTTCAATGTTTTTACTTCCTCACAGAGGGTTTTTTCAATTGCAGAATCTCCTGTTTTGCTATGCTCATACTGAGGCCTCTTCTGGAAGAGAAGTTCATCAAGTGTTTTGAATTCCTCAGAACTAGAGTCTTCATCTTCCAAGTTCTGCACTTCGAATAATTTATTCTGTGACACTTTTACTTTCTCCTCCTCTTCCTCAGTTTCCTCTTCACTTTCCTCAAATGTACTCAGTGGAGAGTAAGAAATTTCATAGTCATTGAAGTCCACGTTTGATTGTAGCAGACTCGGCTGACTTGCACCTTTCTGACTGCACAGATCTTCTCCTGCTTCACTTTCTTGAGAGGGTGCAAAATCATAAAATTCAAATTTACAACTACTATCTGTGGTCTGTGTAAGCTGAAATGTCTGTTGAGGTTTCTGAACATCTGCAAACAAGGAAGTACTTTCACTGACTCTATTTGGAGACTTCATTTGCGGTGAGCTCTGTACCATCAATGCACAGTCATCATTTGGAACATGTTTTGTATCATTAGGTGGTTTCTCGTTCTGTGAGATTTCCTCCACATGCCTTGGGAAACAGCTGGGCTTTGCAGCAGCAGAACATGTCATCTGCATCTCCAAAGAGTTTCCTGAGGAGTTTACAAGATAATCTCCCGCTCTGTTTGCTGCAAGCAGAAAATGGCTGTAACGCTTATAGTGGGATGGAATAGTGGAAGTACACAGCAAACCATCAGGACACTCTATGAGAAGATAAATAGAGATGAAATGTTAATATCTTTGCAAACAGCTGGCATAATTATTAAAATAAAAATCACAAGTGACACACAATTTAAAAACTTTTTTCTAATAAATACAGCTATTGAAGGAGAGAAGGCACAAGTTAAAAAGGAATTTTCAAGCTGCCAAGGCCTCCTGCCCTGAGCTGGGTGGAAATGAGAATGCTTCCAACCTAAAACCAAACAGCTTCTGCAGCTAATACAGCACTGTGCCTGAATTAACAAGAATTAATAGCCCTTTAACAGCAAGAATACTTAAGCCTGTTTCAATGCTGTGCTCAGGTAATTGCATACCTTCTAGTTTTGAACTGCCCCACATACAAGCAACAAGCTCAGAGCATTAGCACCAAAAAAGGCCGAACGTTTAAACTATAAATAATAAACAAATAAACCAGAGTGTTTTGAAATAAAACAAATCTCAGTTCTGATCTCAACCTGAAATTCCATTTCAAATTGTCTGCTAGGTTACAAATAACTTAAAAAAAAAAGTTCTGTATTTACTTACGTGAAAAAATATTCAGCATTGAGATGCCAGAAGAAAAAATGACGGCTGTTCCTGCGTTTTTACGTTGAGGGTTTGCTAGCCTAATTGTTGAGGGTTTTAAGGTGAATGCACAAATCAATCACAAGAAGTTTCCATCTGCTAATTATGGGTGTAAAAGATGGCAGTGAGGTGTTAACACACCTGCCTTAAATTAAAACAGCTGCCAAAATCATCATTTAAGGACTTACACGTCATTGTTCTGAAGAAGAAAGTTCAAGGAAAGCTACAAAGATATAAAAAGGAAAGTGACTGCATTACCTAAAGCAGCCTTTATTCAAGTTTCCTGACTGTATGTTTTCTGATTTTCAAAAGTTAGGAGGTGCACTAAGGACATAACTTGGATTCCTGAATCTGTTCAGATATGTATGGTATTTCCCCTTGAAACTATAATTTGGCATGTTTCCGTTTTGAAATTGGCATGTGTCAGTTTTATTCCTCTTGCACAGAACTCCAAACAAAACTTTACCTTGTGTTATGTTACGATACAAAAAATGTTCATGTAAAATTCTGTACAAAATTTCTATTTCACACTGGACCACGAGCTAACATTTCAAGTAAATTAGCGTACTTCAGGTTCCAGATGTCCTTAGACAAATGCAAATATGCAACTTCTCCTTCTTCAGTCAACTACTAAAACTTGGAGCTTGATAAACAGCCATGAACCTTTATCCCTACTCTCAGAGTTTTGAGATTTGATTCTGAAATGACATTTTCATGTCAGATTTCCACATTCTTCACAAAGAAGCAAAAATTTTTTACAAAACCAGTATTGATCAGTAATAACATTTAAAAAATCATACCAACTACTATCTCAGATTTTGAGCTAAATATGAAAAACAAGGTTTAAAGCAACATTATGTGAGACACCTCTAACTTTTCTTTGAAGGCTTTTTGTTTCTTACTCTATTCATACCTTTTTCAATGGATCCTGGAGTATCCAAACATTCATCAACATGCCATTGAGGTGTCTGGACCAATAGCAAAGAGAAAGGCATCTGGCAGCTGGGACAGTATCCATCATGCACGGGCTTTGCCTTTTGTGAGCTCTGTTCTGTCAGGCCATTCACGCTTTCCTGGGAGTGCTCACTACTGTCATCCTTACATTGATCCGCATCCTGATTTGGCCGTGCCCTCTGCTTGGTTTTCTGCGGTGTATCAGTTTTTTCCACGGATTTCTTTTTCCTATTTCTCTTTCTTTTTGGCCTACCATTGCCATCACTTACTTTCTGCACAGGTGTAGAGACGCTCTGTGAATTACCTTGATGCTTTTGCTTCCTAATAGATTTGTACTCCCAGATGTCCTCCTCTTCCAGTAAAGCATCTTCAGACATGGCAACAAAGGAAATACACCCCTTTCTTTTAAGCAACAGTCCACAAATCTGCCTTTCCTCCCGCTAATATATTTTCTCTTCACTATATGAGGAAAAGGCCCAGAACCCCACATTAAAAAATCAACACTGGGCCACAAACCAAGCAGCAATCCGTGACGGGACAGAAGCATGGTGGATCCTATCCTAAAAAAAAATAATTCAATGAGCGCCTCTTCGAAGATTTGCTTCTTCTGTTAAAGAGGACCCGAGCGTGCCAAGGCTTGCAGGACGAACCATTTCCTCCAGCTCTCTCCCCTCCTCAGCACCTACCCGGCCCCGGGAGGGTCAGCCCGCACACCCCGCTCCCCAGCAGGGAGACCTAAAAACACACTGACGAAGGGTTCGGCTACGGGATCGCCGCCGGGCTGTCCCGGGATGCTCCCCGGGAGCGCCCCGGTGCCCACAGAGTATCCCGGGGTGTCCCCTGGAATGTCCCGGGATGCTCCCGGGTGTCCCGGAGCTCCCGCCGGTTCCGCGGGTGGCGGGCAGGCGCCTCCCCGCCCGTTCCCCGCCGCGCATTCGCTCCGGCAGGTTCGTCACTGCGGCTGTCGCCCAGCTTTCATCTTCTCCCGTAGTATCCTCTCAAAAAAAAAAAAAAAATCCCAGCGTTTAAATTGCTGTTTTGGGCTTTGTCCCGGTGCAGCTCAATTTTCACACCTTACCAACTACAGAAGCCGCCGGTCGGGACAAGGCGAGCCTGTGTTGAATCTGCCGCGCGGGAATCCCCACTGCGGGCTCCCTTCGGGAATGTGCTGCTGTGGATACCAAGGATATGTAAAAACAGGGAGTAAGCGAGGGGGGTCCCGCTTTAAGGCGGACGCGTTACCGCGTTCCTGTTCTTTGCGGTTTATTTCCTTCTTCCACCGCGGCGCTCCGGCCGGGGCCGCGGGCGGTGCCGAATGTGCGGCGCGGAAGCGCCAGGCCCGTAAACAGCGGGCGGGCGAGGCGATGGCGGCGGGCGGGCTGGCGGGGCTGCTGCCCGCGCAGACACAGCTCGAGTACGCGCTGCTCGACGCCGACACCGCCCAGGAGAAGGAGAACCTGGTCTACCAGTACCTGAAGAAGGTGGACGGCCGGGAGCGGGACCTGACGGTGCCCGAGCTCGGCGGAGGTGGGTGGCGCGCCCCGGGGCCTGCTGGGGAGGTGGCGGAGCTCTGGCTCCCGCAGTGAGCTGTCTGCCCGGTTTTTCTAAACCTCTGCTAGCTTCATTAATTTAATTTTTTTTTTTTTTTTTTAATAAAGCTCTTCCCACCTGTACAGCGAATTGGTATCTGTCACCTCTGGTCATACTGAGAACCTTACTAATTCCCAGCTTTCTCTTGAGCTCTCCTGGTTTCCCTGAATATCCCTTAGGATGTTCCCCAGCTCGCTCTCTCCCTGTGACTTACCCAGTTGTCAGTTTCCGTGTCCCTGATTGTCACTATCAGTGTCCCTGATTGTCACTATCAGTGTCCCTGATTGTCACTTTCAGTGTCCCTGATTGTCAGTTTCCGTGTCCCTGATTGTCAGTTTCCATGCCCCTGATCATACAAACTGTCCTGGAGATGTCATTGATCTTCCTTCTGTGGTTTGCCCCTTTCACACATTTAATGCATTTCTGTGTCTCCTCTTAAGGATGAAATCAAGGGTTAAACCTTGTACGATGTTGCAGGTGCTGTTCATAGTCCTTCAGACCTTAGTGAGGTTCTCTGGAGCTGTGGGAGCTCACATCTGACTACCAGACAGAGACCTCAGGAGGTGAACTTCAGGGTTAAAATCACATGTATCATGGAAATGAATTATGAGGTTTTAACCACTGAAGCGAAGGGAATGTTCTTTCTGTGTAGATTTGGACCCCTGAATTGAATTTTAGCTTTTGTGATAAATACTGTTTCACTTCCTGTGTTCTGTCAAGACTTATTTTCTCCCCTAAAAAGAGCTCAAATAGATAGCCAACATTTTTCATTTCAAGTGGTTTTTAATAAAAGGTATTTTATTTCTAATGAAAAGGGGAGCAATGCAGCAAAATGAACTACCATTTTCTTTTAAAAAGTAAAGCCCTTACATTGTGGAAACAATGCATACACTTGGTAAATTATTCTCATTATTGTCACCAAAGCTAAATGTGTGTGCATCCATTTATGTTTATAAGTATATGGAAGTAGAGATCAGTCTTCCTTTTAGTGAAACAGAAAACAGCCTCCTGCTGACTTCAGCAGGAATAACTTCTGGGGCTGCAAGAACTTGGTTTGCTGAAACTGTCAGTGGAACTTCTGAGGATTTTTAGGTTAGTCAACATTCATTTTTTAAGAAAAGGCCTTCAAAAACTTAGTTCATGTTAACATTGTATCACATCTGTCTTTTCCCTGTAAGATATTCAGAAATGTTAAGGGATAGTAATGGCAGACCATATTCTAGGATATTTATTCCTTATCTTGATACCAGGTTTTAATGGGATCAGAGGAATATCAGTTACCAGTGAGGAAAGAACACTTTAATGTCTTGTGTAAAGTTGTTAGAATAAATTACCATAAGTCCTGCCAAGTCCATCTGAAAATGTTGTATTTCTTCCCATGTGACAGCATTAATTTACACCTGTCATTTCAAACTTTGAAAATCAAGATCAAGTCTATAAGCACAAAAATATTTCAATGATCTCTGAAATCAGTTCTTTAAAAAACTGTTGGAAAAATCATTAAGAGTTTAACACTTTCTAACTTTTACTAGCCTTTATGTGAGTTTGAAATGGTTGCTACCCACATGATGGTGCTGGGAGTTGAATAATCTAAATCATGTTTTAAAATGTGTGAAATTTGTTCTGAGACTTGCCTGTTCTTTCAATTAAAAGGTGCCTATTTAAAGCTATAAACTACACTTTGATATTAGAGTAGATCTTAATAATATTTGTGAAGAATTGTGGGACATAAGGATGAGTTGGATAAATACTTTCTGTTTGCTTTTCTACTTTCATAGAAAGGGATGTCATACTCTTTTTTTTGACGTTAAATATACCAGGGGCATTGTGAGGTGTAGTGTAAATTAGGTATAAGTGTCTGCCTTTCCCTGCCCTTCCCTAACTGGGTATCACCGTTCTCTGAATTCCAGATCTACAGTGGTTGAACACTGAAGGTCCTATTTCCCTTCACAAAGACCTTTGTGGAAAAGTTGTGGTGTTGGATTTCTTTACTTATTGCTGCATCAATTGCCTGCACCTGCTGCCTGATCTCCACGCCTTAGAGCACCAGTACTCTGATAAAGGTAAGAGTGCTCTGGCTTGCTTGGAATACAATTTTCTGGCGGTGTTGCAGGCGGTGTAGCTGAGTCACTTTGTTGCTGGTTACTGAACTCCTGGCAATATTTCAGGGGCGTCTAAAAATGTCTTCTAATCTTTTAAGTAGCCTAAAAAGGATGACTGTGTATGTTTCCATCACATTTTTAAATAGGGTTAAATAAAGCATCTGTTGTGTCTGTTATAATTAGACAAATAGGATGTGTGCTTAAAATCGGATGTCTTTAAGGATATTTGCAAAAAGCTACTCAGTGATGTAAGATAGAAGCTCAAAGTTAATAAATGTAACTCTTTTATACTTGATTGAGGAAGCAGCTCTGAGAATATAATAAAGATGGTAGTATGGATATAATTAAGATTAATTAGGGTTTTTTCCATTGGAACTCAAATAACAAAATATATAAGCCTGACTTAAATTTTTTTTTTGTATTGGCATCATATTGTATACCATTAATAGTCCTGTATTCTAGAGGGGGAATTATGCTCTTTAAAGTCATGTCTGAAATGAGACCTGTCTCTCACTCTGAGTGAATAAAAATGCAGGGTAATATCTATTTAGAATGCAGTCTCTTGTCATCATGATGACTTGTCAGAGATAAGCTGTGGTCTTACACAGTGTGTCAGCTACTCACTTATCATGGATATTTTAACAGACTGAACTGTAAGATAAAGAACAGTGTTACTTTCAGCCCTAAAAACCTTGTACTATATGTAGTAAATAAAACTATCTTAAAATCCTTAAGTCTGATTCTCCATTGCTGTTTCTGATTGGGATTTATTTTGGCGGCATTTATTTTCATGTGCTACCTTCTTTCATTAGAAAAAGAGATTGCAATATCTTTGAAATTTACATGCATTTACAGTCCTTTACATACATTTACTTTGCACTTCACAGAAGACTCAAACTGATTTTTCTACCTCGGAAAGCTTAGCTGTTTGCTTTGGAAAAAATTGAAATGTGGTATAATGTTTCAGATATTAGGAACTTTCTCTGATAAAGAAAAACCTTCATGGCATTTTTTGGGAAGGAGTCAGTTTTAAGTGGAAGGTGATTAGCTAGTGATAATTGAACTGCTGTGGATAATCAGGCGTGTTGGGAAGAAAGTCTAGACTGAGATTTCAGAAGATTGTATTGATCATATAATGAATAATATCTTTAAATTATAAATATTTTATAGTATACTGATATTATATTAATATAGCTGTTATTTAAGGCTAAGTTGTTAAATTGGCTGATAACAAAATTTTCATTTTAACAGCTTCTTCCCCCAGGCTTTCTCTTTAAACTGCTTGTACATCTCTATACTGGTGTAGAAGAGGCTGCAGCACTCTGAGGTTAAGGTCCACCTGGTGACATGTTTTTTTTCTTTGACTTGTATTAAACTTCCTGTCACAGGAGTTACTATTACTTGAGGAAAGTACTTTACTGATGGTGATAAACAATTTTTGTATTTGAACTGCCCTTATAAGTTGTTTTTGGATTTGAGCTATCCTGTTCCTGCAGGAACCAGAGTAAGAAAAAAGATAAATGGGGTGGAAGTGGAGGTAAAGGGAAAGAAGAGCAGGTGTGTGGAACATTAATCTTAAATTTAATCCATTAGGAAGCAGAGGATAGCAGTTGGATTCAGGAAGAGATTAAGGTGCTTAATGGTTCAAACAAAGAGAAAAATACGCTGGGGGGTTTTTTCACTATAGATCTACGTTTTGGTCCTTTTCTACTGTTTTCATGGGGGTTTTTTATCAACCCTTCCAGAATTATTTAATCTTTCTTTGCAGTGCTAAGTGTGTAAGTCTTAATGTTACAGTAATATGGATAAAGGTATATATCAAGGCAGTAAGGGTTGTGGTTTTTTAACCATAGAAAAATACTTCAGTACATATATTTATATCAGTGTGCATCTTCTTCACCCAAGGTAAATGTGAATTACTAATCACTAGGAGAAAGAGAAGGGGAGAGTGGTTGGCTCAAAAAACTTGAGAAAGATAAAAGTTGGAAGAACAAAGCATCCTAATTTAGCAAAGCATCTGTCTCATAATGCATTTGGATCTTTAATCTCTTGTTTGAGCATTTGAAGGAATACTGCCTATTTTTTTCTCAGTTATAAGAAATAAATTTCTTGATTGTACATTGTGTACATACATTTTTGATACTCTGATTACTTTTTATGTGGTTCAAATGCCCTCTTATGTGGAGTATGTTGAATCTTAAGCAATGGGATCATCAGGCATGAAAAGTTTAAACACAAGAGGCTGTACAGGGTGATCCTAAATCATTATATATATCATAGTATATATGCCATAGTTCTATTGTCTGGAACTTCAGAGATCTGTTTCAAAATGAAGACTGCTTTCCATAGGATTAAATGTCGCCCAGCATCTTTATCTGATATGTTCTCACTGCTATCTTCAGTGCTGCTATTTCTGTGTTTCAAGTGGCATTCAGAAAGTTATTTTAAACCCCAGTGCATATTCAGTTCATGTTATCAGCAGTCCAGAAATTACTTCTATAAGAGGAAGTACTTTTTAATATTCAGAAATAGCTTGGCATAAATCCAGTGTTGTGCTCTGCTATAATCCCTCAAATAAAGTGTTTTAAATGGTGCACATATTGTTATTTCTCAGCACAGCATCCGTCATTTCCACAAGAATTTTCTTCATGAGAGGATAACTTATTTGTGTTACTCAGGTGTTCACTATAGAATTGTCTTTCTAGTTTTATTGATGTTTTTGAAGGACAAATATAAGCCCTGGTGCTGGTCCTTTTACAGTTAAAATATTTGACCTGGTGGTTGGAGTTCAGCAGTTAATGATAGTACAACTTCAGCTGTCTGATATTGCAACATTCTGCAACTGTGGAGGTGATAAAGACTGTATCAGTTATAGTGACTCTTTAATTCTGTATCTGTGAAATTGTTATATTCAAGCCTGCCTGGTTTGTAACAGGTGTTATGTGTCATTTCATCACGGTTGTCAGCACTACCATTTTTATTTGAAATAGAGAATACTGTGTTGATTTCAGAAGCCTATACATTTTTTTCTACTGTTTATCTAGAGATGGATATATCAAGGTAACTCTGGACTTCCAGAATTCAATGTTATTTTTGTGGGTGCAGTTAATGGTGGAATAAAATTAAACACCACAGTTGTGTATAGGAATCAGAAGGTAATTAGGTGTCATAAGCATCTGAAAAAAACGAAAGTATCACTTGAACTGCAACTTACCCATAATTATTTTGAAAGTATTTTCTACTTTAATATGTAGAGGTTCAGGAACAGTTTATGACATAGTAAATGTCAACCAGCTGGGGAAGTAATGGTCCTAAGGTTCTGTCATTTTACTCAAATGTTATTTCTGAGTTTCAGTATTTTCTATACGTAGTTCTTTGTATTCCTGCTGAGACATAATTGCTTTTTGTTTGTTCAGATTCTCTATCCTCCTGGAAAGCAGTCAGTCACACTGTGAGATAACTGTTGTTCATTTTTCCTTTCAGATGGTCTTGTTATTGTTGGTGTCCATTCAGCGAAATTCCCAAATGAGAAGGTTCTGGATAACATTAAAAGTGCCGTTCTGAGGTACAACATTGTCCACCCTGTAGTAAATGATGCAGATGCAACACTGTGGCATGAACTAGAAGTGTCCTGCTGGCCAACCCTGGTCATCCTTGGGCCTCGTGGAAATATGCTGTTTTCACTTGTTGGAGAGGGACACAGAGAGAAATTGTTTTTATTTACTTCTATAACACTGAAATTCTACAAGGAAAGAGGACAAATCAAAGATAACAGCATTGGAATAAAGCTGTACAGAGACTCCCTCCCACCTTCTCCTCTGCTGTTTCCTGGCAAAGTGACTGTAGATAATTCAGGAGAAAGGCTGGTAATAGCAGACACTGGACACCATAGGATTTTGGTTACTCGTAAAAATGGACAAATTCTACACACTATTGGAGGTAAGGGTGTATATATATGTAAGTTTATCCTAGTAATTTCAGTTTAGGAGTAGAGGATGTTCACTTGGGCTGGTAGGCTGATTCTTTTCTTTAAGGACCTGGCAGTTTATAAGTATTGCCAGAATTTTATCTTGTCCTAAAATCACTTCTCTTGATTGGGGGTGATATAGTGTAAGACCATCAGTGTGGGACTTTGTTAATGCAATATTGTTTGAGATGCCTAATTTTTTGTCATTGCTTCACTGACTAAAGTTCCTGTTTTCATGTGCTGTCCAGTATGAATTATGAAAATGCAATTTGTAATTCTTCTGAGAGAGTTACAAATGGTTTTAGATATAAGGGATGTTACATCCACATTCAGCAGCAAGGTAGGGATAAGACAGATCATAATGCCTCTCCTTCCAACAGAAGAAGAGAACGCTGAATTGTGGTTCAAGTGCTCAAAGTTGCATCGTAATGCACCATGCACATAACTGTTAGGACAGTCCATCTATGAGCAACCACAATAGACAGATTTAGGAAGTGGTCAGATCCCCAAATTATTGAAAACAATGGTTCATTTATGTCTGAGAATCATGACCTGTGTGCCGATGTGTCCTATATTACTTAGTCTTCTGTTGACTAATGCCTGCCCCATGGCAGGATCCTACAAATCTCATAAAAATACCAGTGGCACTGCTGTTTCTAAAGAAAGGAGGGAAAAATCTCTTGCTGTTTGAAATAACAATGCATTGGGGTAGATGGACTATTTATCCATGTTAACCTGATTTATCATTAAGGCATTATTCTAAATACCCTTCTCCTGTAGGAAGTACAGGCAGAGTTTCTTATGGCAAAAGCAAGAGAATTTGGTTTCTGCTTGATATGTGAGATGAATCTCTGCCCACAGGCTACTCAGTAGTGTTCTGGAATGGTCATTAAACAGGAATTCAGAGGGAGTGTCCTAACCTCCCAAATGGTACTGCACTCTGTGCTATCCTGTTCCTTGGGGATGTGCACCCTCATGCTTACAAGGGGAGCTACTGGAATCTGATACACCAGTACTTCAGTCCTTCATATCTGTTAAGGTCTAAATGGACTTCTGACAGTGGGTTGTAAAAGTTTGTGTGTTTCAGTGACTCAGTTAAATGACTCAGTGGGCAGAAAATAATGTAATGAAGTTGATAATACAGCAATAAACGTGGGCATGCACAAAGGTTGAAATTGTTGTATTTGCATCATAAATCACGATACACACATAACTCATACCTAAATGTCTCCTGCTGACATATACTGCTAATGCACTTTAAATGCTACTCCCTCTGAAATACGATGCTTACCTTCACACTGTTATATTCAGGTCATGTTCCTTTCTGTTTCTTGATTGTTCTGTGCAGAAGACTGTCACTCCATCATTCTTGCAGTTCTTTTGTGTAATTAGTTCCATGTCATCTTTTACCTAATTATTATTATTATTATTAATGAGAAAATGTTGCTAATCAGATATTAGTTTCATTTGTGATTACACCAAACTCTAAACTAATGAAATGAAATTGAGTTTTGGAAATTAAAGTTTTTCCTGTTGGCTTGTTTTGATGTAGTCAGGAATGAAAGAGCTGTCGGTGGTTTTGTCTTTCATTGTTGCTTTAGTGCAATTTAGAACCCTATTTAGACCTCTCTAGAACAGTTTAGAACCTTATTAAGACTTCTCTGAAATATGAGTTTAAAGAAGCAGAGAACTTACTCAGAATGGGTTCAAAACTCATTAGCACCAGGCTATTTTAATTACATATCACAGTGACTTAAATGAGACTACACAAAACAGTAATGATGTGAAGTGTACAAGGCGCTGTGAAAGCAGCTCTTAGAATAACTACTTCTCTTACAGGTTTAAATGTATGCACTTTAGGGTGGCTTTTTATTACAATTACTTTCGAGTTTGCTTTGTTTTATTTATAGGTCCAAACAGTGGAAGGAGAGATGGAAGATTTTCAGAGGCAGCTTTCAACTCACCACAAGGGATTGCTATAAAAAATAACGTTATTTATGTGGCTGATACAGAAAATCACCTTATTAGGAAGGTAAATTTTCCATAAGGAAACTAAAAATTTAATATCGCACTGTATTCTGCTTACACAGGTGAAAATTTACATCAAATGAATTACTTTCTGAATATCCTTAATGTCAGAAAGAAAATTTGGTCCAATATCTTATAAATATAAGTGCTGTTGTGTAGGTTTGGGGTTTTTTTAAGGCTGCATGTACTTTTATGCTTCCTGTCAATTGAAGATGAGATGGGCTCCTTGTTACAGCATAACAGGGTTTTGTTGTGGTTTTTTTCCTAGTCACTCTTACTTTCCTGTTATGAGAAACATCTATTCTTAGTACTGGAAGCAAAAACTGGTTTTGTTTCCCTTCCAGTAGTATCAGATTCTTATCTAAAGTTATTGTACTGCTGTGGTTCAGTGAATATCTAAACTTCCGTTAACTGTTTGGGTCTCTAAAGTAACAGGTAACTGCCTTAATATCAGAATTGACTGCCTGTGTATTCTTTTTGATTAAACACTTGCAAAGTTTTAGCATGTAGGAATTGGATCTTACATTTGATTAGGTGAAATTTAAGATAATCAGAAGTTAAGTTTGGTTATGCAGTATACTGTAGCCTTATTATTTGCAAGTATTGTGTGCATTTCAGAAGATCTTGTACTCAGATCCTCACCATTATGTCTGATTAGTGATCAAAGTGGTTTTCTCCGGAGTCCTCATCTTATTAATATTCACCACTGTAGCCTGGTGACCACAGGAAATTAAGTGTTGCAGGTAGCAAAGACAGCACAGAAACACCTGAAGATCTGGATCATATTGCTCCAGCATTTTCCGTGATAGTAAGCTGTTCCCTTTCATTTAAATGTGCCATGATGGTATCCAAGAATTAAAGTAACACAATAGCTACAGGAAATTATTTCAAATGCTTGTGCAGACCATGGACCTTGCAAAAGGAGTGCATTTACTGCTACAGAAGTTAGAAGATTCCGTATGTGAAAGAGTCCCTTTTTACATGATCATCCTGATAAATTCATGGGAGGTATTGGAAGTCACTTAGAAAGTAAGTGAAAGGGTAAGGAAAAATAAAGGGATTTAGGTTGCAGAAATGAAATAAAACCATTTTTTGCTCTAGGGCATGAAATAAACTGAAAAAATAATTTGCTGTACTCAGATTATTTGATATGGAGATGGGAGATACAGTATATGAGTTTTTACACCATATTCCTATAGAATTTTAAAATAAAACATCCACATCCAGTGTTTATTTAAGTATTTATCTAGAAATTTGGGATGCTTTCTTCTACAGCTGCTGAGTAAATCTTGACAGAGCAGTGTTCATTTTTGTGGCACGTGGAAGAGAGTTCCAGGCACGTGGTTTTCATGCTGCCTGCTGCTTCCCCACCCCCACACTCCCCTGCCCATCAGCAAGCGTTGTGGTAAAAGTAATTATTTTCCTACATAAATAAATACCTGGTATTTGCTAGAACTTTTCTGGTTTTGACATCTAACTTGAATTATCTGTAACTTCAAGTTAAGTTTATGTATTCAATGTGTGTCATTTTGCTTCACATAGATTGACCTGGAATTAGAGATGGTGACCACTGTAGCAGGCATTGGGATACAAGGTGTTGACAAGGAAGGTGGAGCAAAAGGAGAAGAACAGCCCATCAGCTCTCCGTGGGATGTGGTCTTTGGAAGTTCAAGTAGTGTATCAGTTGAGCTTTAACATTTCATACTTACATATGTGTGACTGTTTGCTATATGTTTGCTTGTTTTGGTATTAATCTGAGCTATGAAAAATTTTCTATACAACTGAGTGTAAAAAACAGTGGCTTCAATTGCAAGTGGTAAGTGCAGTTCTGCTTTGGATCCTGAAATATTGCTTGATGGAAGAAAAATTCTTTTGAGGCAAGTTATGTGATTACTGGACCCAAATACAAAGGAAACTGTCATTGCTTTTTTTAGGCCAGTGCTTTATGCCAGGATCACTTAAGCAGCAGGTACATTTTACAAGAAGGAAGCATTGTCTAGAAGTTCCTTTCCTGGACTGTATAGACATGTCTGCCCACTTGTAAATATTTGAGTTTAGGAAACAAAAATAGTTTTAGTTGGGGACCTCTGTTTATTCCTGTTTAGGTGACATAAAATCATTAGGCTCAAGGTCACAATAGAGTCAGTCAGATAGGAGAGGAATACCTCAGAACAAACCTTGCAAGCATCAGGAGATAGAATAAATCTTTGCATAACAGGATGCCAGAATCAGCTTCTGGGGATTTGAGTAGCTTTCTTTGCTGATTCACTTAACACACAGCTGAACTTGACATCTCGTAACTGCCACGTTCTGTTAACTGTGAGCTGATAGGCAGTTTTCTCATGTTTCCATTTCAATTTAATTTGCAAGTTGCAGATGCCAGTTTCTTAACAATGACAGAACAATGCTTTAATGGGGCATAAAACTGTTGGGTTGGTATTTCAAGCATAAAAGGTTGACTTTCAATGTTCACATTTCTTGAATGGGATAGGGAAGTAGCATGATTTACCTCTAACACCTTGAACAGAGGTCTTTGCAAGTGTAGTAAATTATAACATTTTACTGACATGCAAGCACTTGTTAAAATCTTGGGTCAGTTATGAGGGAGGAAGACATGCTCATATTAGGATTAAGGGAACATAGAATCCTAGAGTGGTTTGGGTTGGAGTAGGCCTTAAAGTCCATGTAGTGCCAACCTCCTGCTGTGGGCAGGGATAACTTCCATTAGACCAGGTTGCTCAAAGCCCTGTCCAGCTGGGCCTTGAACAATTCCAGGGATGGGGTATCCACTAGGCAACCTGTGCCAGGGCCTCATCACCCTCACAGTAAAGAATTTCTTCCTAATATCTAATCTAAACCTGCCCTCTTTCAGTTTGAAGCCGTTCCCCCTTGTCCTATCACTCCATGCCCTTGTCCAGAGTCCCTCTCCAGCTCTCTTGTAACCCCTTTAGGTATTGGAAGGTGCTCTGAAGTCTCCCCAGAGTCTTCTTGTCTTCAGGCTGAACAACTCCCAACTCATGGAGCTGGTTCATAAATGCTGATAGTGGAGAGATCATCTGGTACAAATACACTGTCAGTACAGACAGAGTACCACCAGCAGCCTTGAGTACTTCAGTAGACAACTAGGATAAATTTAATAAATGCTTTTATTAGCATGTTTTCTAACCCCCCCAAAAAAGCCTTTTATAAGGCTTTGTCAGCAACCTTTCCAGTGGAAATTAAGCATATGGAATCCTACTTGCGAGAGAAAGGAGGAATACCCGAAAGATAATCTCACTGGAATGCACGTTGCTATTAATGCAGGCGTGAATTTTGGTGAATCTTCTTCAATCCAATTTTCCTTCTGTGAGCCAGTAGACTTGTGTGAGTAGATGGTATGGTTTTCCTGAGATCTTGAACCAGAAAGCTGATCTCTGTGGGACGTTATTGCAGAGCTGTTTCACAAATCAGCAAAGAGAGTAATAACTGATTAGTGTTTCAAAAACTTTAGCTGGTTAACAGAACTATTCAAAGTATCCTATAAGTTTACTTTTAATTTTTATGATGTTCTCTGCTGCTTCTGCCAGTAATTGAGTATATGTTGATACTTTTTTATTTTTGAAACTCTGCTTGTTAAATGTTAATTGATATGATAATTGTTATCAACATGAACATTATACTTACTGAGTTAATCATCTATAGAAGATTAGTCATCTGCACTGTTTAACACTGACTGCTGAATTTTAATAAGCATTTGCATAAAAATCAGACCTTCAGAATGCACTCTGTTCAGATCAGTATAGATTTTTTTCATCTTCAGGTAGAACCTACTAGTCAGTTTTCTATTTAGATTGCTGCAAAACACAATATAAACTGTCAGTTAAGAGGAGATTAAATCAATTTGAAGTTTGGGGTTTTTTTGAGAAGATAATAAGCTAAATAGATAAAATGGGGAAAAATACAGCTTACTGTAATAGCAATACAAAATTCTTTAGAAAGCTATCACCAGAGAGAGTTGTCAAAATGAAGAGTTATACTGAGTAGAACGCAAACAGAAGTCTGTCCCAGAGCACGAGGAACCAGGAGTTTTTTGCTTTAATAGTTTGCAGTGCATTTTGAACAAGCATTTTTCACTGTCATGAGTTGAGGTGATTTCTTTAAGATTGTTGCCAGGCATCAAAATAGTTTGTCAGCAATGCAGCAGTGTTTGTCAAAGCTGTATTCTTGAATTGCAGATTGCAAAGTTACAAATTGCCTGAGCTTGGTGGGATCTTCTGTTACTATCCAGTATATCAAAGGATGCATTTGTGCTTCTCAGAGTGCTGTCCTACAACCAGGTACCCTGTTGTCAATGTTAAAGCTGCTATGCCAGTATCTATTTAGGCATCTGGATGTAATTAATGAGAGTTTCAAAAATTATTTCTGTTTTCATCCACACAGCAGTATCCTTTTTTTACATATGTTTATATCTATCTCTGTGCAAATTGCAGGAGATAATGTGCAGTTCAACAACTTAGGTTCATTATGACAAATTTTAAAAGTTTGACTTTGGTGTTAACTGCCTTAGCATATGGGAAATAGTAGCATACTTTCCCATTTTCCGTAGATCTGTGTAGCTGAATCTGTGTGCAAGAGGCATTTTTTTCATGTCAGAAGATAGATTTATAGTAGAGCTCTTTAATATGACTTTTATAATTTTTAAACAAGTGATGTTTCTGAGTTTCCTTTCAGTGTCCAGAGCCACCTTATCCAGAACATGAAAGGGAGGAAAAAAAAAGGAAGTTTAAATGTTTAACCTGATTATATACTACACTAGATAGTATTGAACAGCTTATGCTGACCTTTTTTGAAGTCTTAAAGGGGAAGTCTCTTAAACTCTTAAGAGAAATCTTTTTCCTGAATCACTGATATTTCTCGAGGTTACTCCTACATACAGTTTAGAGTATATATTGATCAATTAAAAGACTTCATTGTTTGTTTAAATTTTTAATATGTAGTTTGTTAGGAAATTAAAAATACTGAGAAAAGCTTTATGAGGATATGAATAGGTTAATATTCAGAACAGATACTACTAAGTAGCATGCTTTTAAGCATCTGCATAGCATTTTCCAGAGTGGGGTTTTGTTGCCCCATTTTATACAGATGCTGAAGTCTGAGACAAGGAGATTGAGTGTGAAACACCATTTAAAAGAAAGTTGGCACAAATGTCTCCCTTTAAGTCAGGGAGTTAATGGAGACAAAACACATGGTAGGATTCAGACAGACAATATTCTTCCTTGTCATCTCTTTTATTTCTTTAGTTGTGGCCACTGAGCTTGTGTGTTGCCCTCCCATTAAAATTCTTGAATGAACTCCATGGATTAAATTCGGGCTTTGTTGAGGGTGGTGCTGAAATTTGCATTGACACAGATTGTGCGGGAAACAGAAGGGGAGGGCCGGCAGCTTAAAAATACATTATGAAATTACTGTGTGCTTTTTTAGCTTTCTCTTGTTGTCCCCTTCTATTTTTATTTGGTGGGTGTTGAAAGCAAGTGATACTTTAATGCACAGTTGATTTGAGCGTGAAATGTTCTTGATAGCTGCATTCTTGCTGGAAGGAACGGGACAATGACTTGTGCTTGGTGACATAACCGTGTGTTTCACATTCCGAAATCTGGTCTTAAATTGCATGATTGTAATGTATTTATAGACACTCCCAAGTACAGTATTGACCGTGCTTTCACTAAACCAGCTGGAAATTTTTACATCAATTTAAGTTTTACCTAGATATTATTTAAATGAAAGTACAGTACCTTATCAGAGTGGTACAATTTTTATAGCCCTTAAAAGGCAAAAGTATGTAAGATTTTTTTTTTTCCCTCTCTGTGTTTCTGCTAGAGGATTATTCAGTACCACTGCATTCCAGAGCAAACACTCTTTTTTTCCTTTTTTTTTTTTTTCTGAATTACTCATGGTGAATCTTCCCTAATTTTACCAAAAAAAACCCCAAATCAATAATCACTTAAGCAGTAAGCTGTTAGCACCTCCTGGGTGAGTTCAGATCATCCATGAACTGTTTATGTCTGAACATGTCTTCTTGAGTAGGATCCTAAATTACTTGTAAATGACAATTTTTTTTTTTAAACTCTCGAAATTTTAAAGAAAAAGTAACTTTGTTAAAGATAGGACTGAAGTAAAGTGAAAGATTTATAGTGTATTCTGAGCCAAAACTAAGGGATTACAGGGTTTATGGTATTGCTGAATAGTAATAGCAACAAAAGTTATTAGTATTTCACATGTTCACCACAGATCAAGAAATTAGGTACCTATGTTAGTATTTTAGTATAACATACCTTTGGTAAACAAAGACCAAAGTCTTAATGAAAGGCTGTAATGGGAGTTGTGACTCAATATTCAACAGTAATCTCACACGATTTTACTTTGACAGACTACTTTTCTAAGTTGGATTTATCTACATCTTGACAAAATGCATGATGATGAGGATTACTTTCTGCAGTAAAAACAAGCATTTGTATTAGCAGAGTTGCCATCTTAACAGTTGTCAAACTTAAAATAATTTTGAAGTCCATGATTTGAAACTGTAAAAAAATTACGATGTTTGTACCTGGAGTAATGGTTCTCATTCTCTTTGTTCCACAGTCTGTAGTCTTGTTCTATGAACTCAATGTATGCTCATGATAAAGAAGCTAAAACTACGAATCAGATTTCTAAAGACTAGTTGAGATATCAGATACGGTTTTTACTGCAAAATTCCAGATGCAAAACTGTTGAAAGTAAACATCCTTAGCAAGTCTTAGAGAGGCTTTGACAGGCATGCTGGAGTCAGAATGAGACACATTTTTTAACTGTTACCATTTGATGCCGAAAGTGCTTTTGGATGTGGAATGTGGGTGTTGGAAGTCAAGGGAAACTGTGGTGCTGAAGTACCATCAAGTGTATGTGTTTACTGTGCTTAATTAGGAATGAGTAAACATATAACCAGACTTTGCTTTGTTTTTTTTAGTAGTTAGAGTGATGTATCCCAGCATCCAAAATTATCTAAGTAAATCCAAGTAAATAATCTAAATTAGTTCTTTCATGTTTAGAAATGCAGTCTCTTCTGCTTTGGATTTTTTTTTTTTTTTAAACATTTACTGCCATTACAGCTAGAAGGCCTGATTTAGACAACTTGTGAAAGAAACAAAAAATATTTCATTATTGTTGTCATTTTTACCTCCCTATTATCTCCCATTGTGTGACACCCCCTTGATATCTATGTCCAAGGATTTCCCTTAGTTAGAGAGAAGGTATGTTAATTAGGGAGGAAAATTCCAGAAGCATTTTATTTCATAAGGGTTTATGCTGTTTGCATGATGCAACACAATGTGAAAGAGTTCCAGGTAGCACAGGAAAAAAGGAAATTAATTTTTAGTTGTCCAAAAAGGATGGTGTATGCTTGTAACAGTCCAGACTTCCAGTGCTAAAGCATGCCTTTGGGGCTTTGCTGTCTCTGTCTCACCAAAGAAGAATGTCGATTCTCTAGTTGTTCTGTGAGTCAGATTTGCATTTAATTTGCTAAACTTCCTTGACTTAAAGGAAGTTGAGATGTGCATTCACTGTGCACAGGGGCAGTGTACCTGTCTGTGAACTGCAGGGTGTGTTGTACAGCCCCTTTTTGCTCCCTGAGAATTTGCAGAGGATGAGCATACCAACAGACTTCTTCCTTGTTGGCTTTTTTTTTTTTTCCTTTAAAGACAAAATTAGTAGACAGGAATAATATTTTCAGACTTCAGTCTATTTAGAAAATGTCAGTGGTGCCAGCCACATAATGTAACTTTGATTCCCAGGCTTTTAATTCCCAGACTGGAAGCAAGCATGCAGTCCCCAGATATGGAAGCTGGAAGTGTGGGCAGTCCTGGGAATGGAATCCCTTCAAACAGATATTGCTGTTGGCTGGTGCAAAACAAAATCATTTCTGTGCATTCAGATTGACTCACCGTTAATAGTCAGCGGCGTTACTGCTTGAAGTTGTGCATGTGAACAGACAGGAACATGAACTCTTAAAACACAGATGTATAGCAGAGGCACATTCAGGAGCTGAAACATCATATACTAACTGAAGTATCATATAAAGTGGAATACTGGTGCATTCAGAGCTCTGGTTCAATATTAGTGCATGTAACATAAGTATATCACATTTGCAAGCCATACCTCGCTTCGATACAGGCAGCACTAAAGATAAGAAAGCACATATCCTAATAAGGAGAAACTACACTGGATTGTTAAAACAGCTCAAGATAGGTTGGAATGTAGTGCTTAATTGAATAAATGTAAAAGAATTGCTTTGTTCTTTTATGTTGTTTTATAATAAATTCTTTAAAAATAAATTCTTTCCATTTGTGGATGATAAGGAGTTATGATAATGATGGCATTACCATAATTTTACATGCTGATTCCCCCTGGCCTCCTTCTCCTGCAAGAACAGCACAAAGATAACAAGCAGTGGTGACATCCTCGAACTACTCTATCCTGAAACAAAAAGTTTTTCTGTCTTTTGTTTCAGAACATAAAGCTTTGAAATATGTAGTGAGGACCACTGTGTGATAAAATACCTTAGCTGTGCAGCTATAAGCATTGGTTTTACTTTTCTGGGTTTATATAATTTTTTTTTTATTAAAGGCTCTGATATATTTTCCACAATTGAGTGTGCTTGTGCAGTTTCCATTCTTGTATCCATTCTCTTTGTTCTAATGACCATCCAGTAGAAAGCTGAGTTAAAATTTATGTCAGTTATGGAGCTCTTATTTATTTTTACTGCCTTGTTCTCCAGCTGAAGAAAGGATCTTTTCTCTATCCATCTACATATTCAGTAAAATTTGAATTTGATATTGATACTTTTTTCTCATATTTGAAAGGTCTTTTAATGTGTGGAATTAGAGTAAGAAACCTTTTTAATTTTTCAACACGTAGCTGTCACAAGGGAGTTTTCAGTGTATGGTATTAGTGAGTTGGATAGATGGATGAACAGTTTGAGTCTTACTCCATCATTTAATTGGTGAATAAGTGAATATTAAATAATTAACAAAGCACTCTTTGAGATCCCTCAGAAGAAATTGCACAGCATAGCAAGATAAAAATCTCACTTTCTGAATAGACCAATGATTTTAACATTTTTCATTCTGGAGTACTTAGAATAGTAACATCTGAAAAGTGCAAGATATGCATAATGGAAATGTTAAATCCTAAAGCTGGGCATTTACTGTATAGAAAATAGTAAAATTATTTCTTAGGCTGTTTTCTCAATTTAAATCTCTTAGAAACAAGCTCTAATCAAAAGGGATTTTTTGGAGGGCAGGGAGGTATTGTTCTGGGGTTTTATTATTGGAATGTTTTTGGCATTGTTGGAACCTTGGTAGCATTTCTGGTAACTCACAAAATGTACGTTTTGCAACTCATTTTTCAAACCTTTATTGCACAAAAAAAAAAAAAAAGCTTTTAGGTACTTTGCAAATTTGGCTTAAATTTTGGAGATCTAGTTTATGTAAAAGCAAGGAGGCACATGGAGGAGCAGGAAGGAGTCACCAGAGTTACTTTGATAACAGTCTTGGAAACTTGTATCTTGATCCAAGAAACTGAAAAGGCTGAAGATAAACTACATTAAAATCATACCACTTCTATTCTGCAGAGAGCTCACAGTATAAGGAAATTGATCTGGAGACAGAAGGATGCTTTTTTTCCCTCTTCTTGCAGTAGTAGTGTAGGAAAGATTTATGATTAGAATAAAAACAGAAGGATCTCAGTTGGGAGAATGGTGGTAATTTCATTTTTTTTGGACTAACTTCTCAGGTTGAAAATGCTTGCAAGCATTTCACATAACATTGCTTTTATTTTGAAACTCCAAAATATTTGGTGGGAGAAAGATTATATCCATGAGATTATTTTCAGGAACAGCTGCGAGATACTTAATGTTTCATAAGTTCATGTGAATAAAAAGTTTCTGTGAGCAACTTGAAGGTATTTTTCTGCTGAGTGGCTAATGGTTATTCCAATAACTCATACATTCAATTAGAAAAAACATGTTTATGTTGTCTCTGAGTAGATGGGGCATGTTAGAAAGATAACAGTGTTCCCATTTTAATACAGTTTTTAAATGTCACCTTTCTGTTCATTAAGATTTTCTTTCAAAACCTGTAGAATACTGCCAGTAGCTTTTTGGAATATATCATTTTGTCACTAGTGTAGTAAAAAACCCTCAAGATTACACCCCCCCAAAACCATGCTTAGCAAAGATATGTTCTTGTTGTTGGCTGGCATGAATCAAAAAATAACAGGTGAAACAGACACAATAGCAAAATGTTGCAAAGAGTAAATCCCATTTGAAACATCGCCTTTGTCAGGTAGGGATATTAAAACCACTATTTTTATAGCCCTGGAAAGAAAACAGAAGAAAAAAAGCGGGTTTTAGTAGATGAAATATATTCTCTCTACTTCCCTTGCTCTGGTTTTTTTTTTTTTTTTTTTTTTGTTGGGTTTTTTTTTTCTTCCCCATGGCAAAAAATGAGCTGGAGTAGGAGGGAAGGCAGGGTTGGTTTGGTGACTTTTTTGTTTTATGAAACAGTTCCAAAGTGGGGTTTTTCTCATCTGATTTTATACATCCCTTTTTAAAAGTTTCAGGAACCCAGGAAGACGATGTTTTATGGATAGCAATGGCAGGCACCCATCAGATATGGGCATTGATGTTGGAAGGTGGAAAACTACCAAAAGGAAGGTAAGCAACCGTGCTGAGAGACATGTGAAATTGCTGTTTGTCGTGATAAACAGCTTTCAACCCCCAAAGAGAGAGATAATCAAATTAAACTAAAAATAATTTAGTTTAAAGGCGTGTGTGCTTTAAAGTCTGCCTGCTTTTTCCCACATCTGTTGGATGAAATGAAAGATGCTACTTTTGCTATACAGCTATGACTTGGTAGGGTGCATTCATAGAATTGAATGCTACTTTTCCTTGCATTTGCCGAGTTACCTAGTAATGAATGATGTACTGAGGTGATATAAAAGCTGGCACAAAGGCATTGAATGATTCCTTGTGCTGCAGTACAGTTGGTTTTATACCTCACAAGTGTAGCTTTTTTTCTATGCATAATGTCCGAGGTATTTCAGACTCTTTATTGGAACTGGGCCCTATTTTCCCTTTAGTGATTTGAAGAAAGGAGTCTGCCTTCGATTTGCTGGGAGTGGAAATGAGGAGAACAGGAACAATGCATACCCACACAAGGCAGGCTTTGCCCAGCCTTCGGGGCTGTCCCTGGCCCCCGAGGATCCCTGGAACTGCCTGTTTGTGGCGGACAGCGAGAGCAGCACCGTGAGGACCGTCTCGCTGAAGGACGGAGCGGTGAAGCACCTTGTAGGAGGAGAGAGAGATCCATTGGTAATCACTTCAAACTTCCCCACACTGCCCTACTAATATTCCTCAAGCCTGACCTGGAGGAACCACTTTTGGGGTGAGAGGGTAAATCAGTTTCCATGGCCATCCATTTCTTAACTTCACTGCTTGGAATGCAAATGTGTGCCAGTTGTGACGCTCAGGTTGTAGTGCAGGTTGTTGCTCCTCAGATGAGAAATTACTTCACTTATATTTAAAACAGCCAATTTGATTGAGCATCGTGTGGTCATTAAACCAGCTGGATTCATATTTATAACTTAGATGTGAGAGTTTTCATTTCCATGGTTAGCAACCACACTTTCCAGTTTTCAATATCCTTGTTTTAAAATTGTCTTGATTTTTTTTAAGTCAGTGAATTTCCATTTAATTACAATCATTTACATTCATGTCAACATTGAATAATCTAGTGTATTAATCAAATAAAATACGTTTTCAGAATTTGTTTGCCTTTGGTGATGTGGATGGAGCAGGCATAAATGCAAAACTGCAGCATCCCTTAGGAGTAACATGGGACAAGAAAAGAAAGCTGCTCTATGTGGCAGATTCCTATAATCATAAGGTAAGCATGTAGTAACTTGTTACATGCAGACTTTGAAATTTGTATTACTATGAAGAATTGTTTTAGTAACATACAAAGATTGTGCTTGTTTCTGTTAAGCCGAGGAAACTAATTATACGAGTTTCTTTGTGGGTTCTTTTTCTTTCCTTCCTTCCTTCCCTATGGTCCCTTTTATTTACCATTGTTTTGCTGTCACATTCTTTTGTGTTGATGTGATGGTCTCTTGGGGGAGGTGAATTTAAAGTGCCAAGTTACAGTTCAGACTAAAGACTCTTTCCTTGTGTCTTCCCAAAGATGCTGAGCTAGAATAAACGAGCTAGGAGTGCTTAGTGAGGAATGCTGCAGGTTTGATAAAACTGAAAGAACAAGAGGACTTGCTTTTCTCTTAAAAAAGCACCCAAGTTTTGGGAAGTATTGTGAGTTGCCTCCATGGAACTCTGAGATAAGCAAGATTGTTTTGTGTGATTGTTCTTTTGTGATGTTTTATAAGCTTTCGTGTCTAAAACTGTACGCTGATTATATGAACTAAAAGAGAAGTCATTTGTTTAATTTGAGGAATAAAGTATATAACGCTAACTGCTTATCAAAATTTATGTGACAAATAATATTTTGTTTTAGATATTGTATAAAACATTGTAAACTTTTTGTTATTACTTTAAGAGGGGGAAAAATACATTTATTTTTAGAAGAAAAATAATCTAGAAGTTAACCTGGCAATTCTGTTATACTCTTACTGTTTTGCACGTTTCCAGAAAGGCAACAAAAATCTGAAAAACAAGCCATTTTATACTAGAGAAGTGGGTACTTTTGAAATTAGTGAAGGGAACACTGAATGAAGACCAAAGAAGTAAAGTCCCATCAGGAAATGGGGAGGGTTAAACATTCTTGTTAAAGAATGATAACTCTAAGATGCACGGTTAAGGTAATCAAAAGTTAGTGCTGTCTTCTGAAAATGTGGGACATAAGATAATACAGAACTTTTAAATCCTACTGGGTTTTTTTCAGTGAAGCTTTTTTTCTGTCTTTGTTTGTCTTAGATTAAGGTTGTAGATCCCAAGATGAAGAACTGTGCTACCCTGGCAGGCACAGGAGAAGCAGGCAATGTTGTTGGTTCCAGCTTTACACAGTCAGCTTTTAATGAGCCAGGAGGTTTGTGTGTTGAAGACAATGGCCGCCTGATGTATGTTGCAGACACAAATAATCATCAGATTAAAGTGCTGGACTTGGAAACAAAAATTCTTTCCATGGCAAGTAAATACTTATTGAACAGGCTGATAGTGGTGTTCCTTGATATAAGTTACAATTGCAGACTTTAGCAAGTGGTACAAAAATGGTATAGCTAACTTTGGGGTACAGTAGCTGTATTCACAGTGTTCTGTGATAATCAGGCAAATAAACATTGCCCAGCACAGCTGTTGAAAGCTTTGGCCTTTGGAAAGGCAGCTTTTGAATGAAAACACAAAGTGACAATCCTCTAGAAAAGAGTAACACAGAAACACGAGTACAGCCCAGTTTTTCGGTGTGGAAAGCCTTTCATGAGCACGTTGTAACAGTTGGAAGTTGAAATCAATTACCAAGCCCTGTAATTAAACTGTAAGAGACGATTTTGGGAGGTCAGTGACTTGAAGCAGGATACATAGCAGGCTTCCAAGTTGTCAGATCAAAGCTACTGTCATAATTGAGCACTGCTGTATTAGCTTCTAAAAAAAACTGTGCTCCTGTCCATCTTACACTGGCACTATGTTGTAATGATTTTTTCAGATATATAGACGTACATATGTATATCTATGACATAAAGCTCCAACTGTGTTCTTGTATGTTTTTTGCATTTAATAGTACATAGCCTTAATGTGTGTTTAAATTTTCATATCATACAACATGTTGGTGACTTTTCTGGGAAACTCCCCTCCACTTTACTCTGCAATCTGCATAGTTAAGATCTTGGATTTTATTACCAAAGCATGCAGTTTACCACCAGGTTAGAAGAAAACACCTTTACGTTTTAATTAAAGTAAAAGTGTAATGCAACTGTTAAAATGTTAAATTAAGGTATACTCTAAAGTAGTTGTGGATTTTATAGTTTTAATAGTAAATACTGCCTTTATTTGGATTAATCAGGGGGTTTTCATTTAAAAAAAAAATTCTGTCCTTCCTTTTGTTTTTGTAGTCTTGCTGCACTCTGTCAGAAAGTTTTAGGCTAATAGCCATAATATCATGTGTCATTTTTCCTTGTTCTTGTTACCATTGAAACCGTAATTGTGCTGTGAAAGCCCATTTGCTTGCAGCACAAATAAAAATAAAAATAAATATTTTGTTTGATTTCTTCTTACAGTTGCCTATCCTGAAGCCAGAAGCATGTGATGTTCCAGATAACCTGCCTGTGCAAAAGGATAAAATAACAAACCTTCCAAAACTGCCTAAATCCGCACCAAATGTTCAACTTCCTTCAGTAACTGTAGCTCCTGGCCAGACAATTCAGTTTTTATTAAACTTGACTCTTCCCCCAGATTCAAAACTGAATGAAGAAGCACCCAATTCCTGGTTTATCACAGCAGAAGGTAGCGTGCCAATGCTGTCTTATCAGCTGAACAGGAGTAACTAAGATAGGAAGTGGGTTATGTCATCATGTCCTGCAGTACAGGGGATCTCAGTCTGATCAATCAAGATGTCCCTCATAGTCCTGTGTTCCCATCTGACCTTGTGATGCAATACATGGTATTTAGACTTGATACATTTAACAGCTGGAGTGCAAATATTAGAAAAGGCGAACACCTGTTAGACTGCTTTGGGCTTGAATTATTACATGCTGCATTATTTTATGTTTTTTAAACTTCCTTGCAATGAGCTGCCAGAGAGGGCTTGAAAAGGTACTGATCCCCTTCGGTGCTTGCCCTTTGTCTCTATGTACAGCTCATTCCAGACCTACTGTCTGTTTCTGGGAGAAAGCTTGCCATGAAGGCGAAGCATATTCCTGAAAGAAATTCGGTTTTTTGTCTCTTGTCTCTTCCAGAAAGTATTTCGGATACATTTATACCTAACCACTTTGAACCTCCTTTCTTATAATTCATATTTGCATATTTCTGCTTGTAAAATACTATATAGACGTCTGCAGTTTGTTTATATGCCTTACAATTTAATGTAGTTTCTTATCCCAATTTGTGATTTTGGAGTACAAGTAGGCTGTTTCCAGGAGAGTTGGCATACTTTTTGGCCTACAGAATCCCCAGACATTGTTGAAGTCAAGATATATGTGATGGCTTCAAGGGTTAGTAAAAATTGGAAATATAAGCAAGTAAAATTTGTCTTTTCAAGCTTATAAATTCTAGAGCCAACTTTTAGGTATTTTCTAAAAAGTGCCAAAAAGAGCACTTCATCCATCTCACAGTAAAATACAGAGTACTATGCAGTGAGTTAAGTATATGTATTGTGCAAGTCATTTTTCAGTTCACATGCTCTCAAATATTTAAGTAAATGTGAAACTCAGGTTTTATTCTCTCAGTCAGCCTGAGCATTGGTAAATTGCACCAACCCACTGGTAAGACCAGCACTGCTGTTTGGAAATGTCATAATTTGCCTGCAGTTTTGTGCATTTATGGCAGATACTTTACCTGGCATATTAGGTCTCTGATACCAATGTAAGAGTGTATAGGAGAAATTGCAGTTCTATTGCAGTTGAATAAGATATTCTGTATGTATACACCTGCAGTGTTGACACAAAGCTGTGGGTCTCTCTATTTTTAAATGACTGATAAAAAAGCACTTCTAAATTACTTCGGCTTTTTTTGTTGTTCACAACTGGAAAAATCAGGAAGGAAATCTCTACTGTTGCATGTGGAAATAAAGTCCCTTGTTGTCATGTTTTATGTAGGTTTCAGACCTGATGTTAAATACCCTAATGATAACATCTGTTGTTCTCTTACAGATAATACGTGGTTGCTTCAAGGACAGTGTCTGACTGGAGAAATCAAGGATGTTTCCTGTCAAACTGTCATTCCCTTTCAGTTGCCCAGGAGCTGTGTGGCAGCTGAAGCTGTCCTGGCTATCAAAGCGTGCCTCTACTACTGCAGCAAAGGTAGCAGTGCCTGTATGATGAAAGGAGTCTCATTCAGCCAGCCTTTACAGATAGCTGGTACCAACCAAGGCAGCTCAACTCAAGTTGAACTGATACACACGTTTTTCACCAACTAACCCAAAGCCAGCTAATTTCATACTTCATTTTGCTATCCACCGTTTCTACGGGATAAAGAACAAATAGATAACTTTTCTCTGTTTTTTCCTGGAACTTAGGAGAAAGCTAAGAAATAATATACCTGGTCAAATGAAGTAGAGTTCCCTACAGCTTAGTGGGAAAATTTATCATCACAACCTCATTTCTTTGCATTACAGTAGCAGCAATAACATTGTAATACTGTAGACTCTGCTGCCAGTTGTGGACACGTTGGATGTCTGCCAATCTAAGTAACGAGCAACAATTTTTAGAGTCCTTTTGAAAGAGCTGGTGTTACTTTGTGATGTTACTGTAAGTTCTTTGCACTGTTAGAGTAGCTAGATCATTCTGGACTAACAGTTCGAAAGTCCTTTTGTGCCCTTATTAAATTTTAATAGAATGTTGGAAGGAACAGTTTCCTTCTCCAGCCTGCAAAAGAAGTATCTTGCTTATTTTTCTGTAGTGACATTTATGACACATGTATTTTGAAAATACATCTTAAACTAGGTGCAGCTCTAATTTTATGCAAACTGAGTAACCGCTTTAACTCGACATGACCGCCTTACGTGAAGAGCGTAGGTTCATGGAAAATTTTCTGTGAAAGGAAGTGTTCAAGTTTCTACAGAAGAATTTCATGGTGATTTCTAACAAAGAATGTGCCTCTCTGCAATGTGTGTGTATATATATATATATAAAGAAAAAACACCACAAAACCATGCTGGAGCTTTTCTGATACATACCAATTTACATTTTATAGAAGGTGGTAGATAATGGTTGAATATCTAAAAGGCAAAAATTAAATGTCAGCCATTTCAGGCAGGGTGAATCACTTCCCTATTTTTATGGTTTCTCTGTAAAGACTTGTGTGAAGTCTTTGGTCTTGAAAATATGTAATATTGTGAAGAATGTTATACTCTTGAAGTCTGATTCAGAGTCTTTTGAAGTCACTGTTAGTCCCCAGTTTTGTAATAGTGGCCACTGAACCAGAACTGTATATTTAATAATGGATTATTTACATTCAGGTTTAGAGGTTCTGATCTTTAGCTAGAAAAATGGTAACCTAACCTTTGTGTAAGGTGCTTTAAACTGTATTGCAAAGCTCTGCCTTTGGTGGTTAAAGGTTTTGCAAGTAAAATTCCCTCCGTTTTTCGTAGTAAGTAGCAGGAATATGGGGGGAGGTGGTGTCTGTGTGCAAGTATCTTACTTGAATTAGAAGAGTTTCCACCATGCCTCAGTGGTAATTGGATTAGGCTCCATGCTCTGGTCATGATGATCAGTTCTGAGAAGATGATTTTGTTTTAAGTTTGAGGATAGTATTTTTCACATATATGATAAAGTGCAGTAGTGAAAGAATTTTTATACAGTCTTTTCTAAAACAGTCACCATTATTCATGACACTTGTCAGTAAATCCCCAGTATCAGTTGTTGTTGCTTTTTCTTACTTAAAGGCTGATTGAAACGTTAGTCATGAACCCAGGAGGCTTTTGTTTCAAGGGAGCCATATGGGCTGGTGTGGTTTTTCCTTCCATTGAAATGCCAGTCTGTCTGAGAGTTCTTTGTGGTACCAGAAATGGTTGTTATCTCACCTGTCAGTAAGGCAAGGGCTGAACTATTATTTTTCTTGTGTTTGGTTTTTAAGCAACTTTCCTAATTAAGTGTTTCAGCCTCTCAATTCTCACAGGCCATTTTGAAGAATGAAAAAGCTTTGCTACTTTGTTCACAGATTGCAAATGCTACTGGAAGGATGAAGATAAAGAAACTGACTTGGGCATATATTATTTTTCACACTTTAGCACAACTCAGACTTTCACAGTTTTTTGCCTGTTTACCTTTGGATAGAAGCCAGGAAACCTTAGATCAGCTTCTAGATAACCCAAAAATTTTCTGTTGCTCTCTGGAAAAAACAAGCATTAGTTTCAGAAGTTCAGAGTAAGGAACCAATTTGTTAGTTATTTTGAATGTGTAATTCATCATATGGATTTTTTCTCTCTTTTTATTGCATCATAGAATGGCCTGGGTTGAAAGGGGCCTTAAAGATCATGTAGTTCCAACCCCCCCTGCCATGGGGACACCTTCCACTAGACCAGGTTTCACCAAGCCCCATCCAACCTGGCCTTGAACACTTCTAGGGGTGAGGCATCCACAGCTTCGCTGGACAACCTGTGCCAGGGCTTCACCACCCTCACAGTAAAGAATTTCTTCCTAATATCTAATCTAAATATACCTTCTGTGAGTTTGAAGTCATTCCCCCCCTACATGCCCTTGTAAAAAGTTCCTCTCCATCTCTCTTGTAGCCCCCCTTTAGGCACTGGAAGCTGCTATGAGGTCTTCCCAAAGCCTTCTCCAGGCTGAACAACCCCAACTCAAATTTTCAGCTAGAATGACATATTTTTCTATTTCAGTTTGATAAGATCAAATTCTGCCTATATTCCACTATTTAAAAATAAAAAAAAAAAATCTATTTTGTTGTTGACACTTTTTAATTAATGCATTGCCATAGGGGATAGACTGCATTCCTCAATTTAATTAGCTATAGTGTATAATGTTTAATTATAGTATTGTGTTTTGTTTGTCCAGGGGACAGCTTACACATTCCCAGAGTCACTCCTTCTCTTTCACTTGTAGTGTACAGACATTTGAATGTTCTGTAATTAGAAAAGCACATTTTTTAAAAAAACTTGTGATATTTAGGGATCCTGTTTCCATTTCTTCCTCCAGGGTTTGCAAGATGCTCTTACAGTAAAACAAGTGCCATAAATTTCACCAGACAGGCAAACAGAATGGCATGTACAAGCTACAGAAATTTATTTCATTTAACTCCCAGAAGGCATCTGCAAAATGTGATACAGAAAAATAAGAAATGTTACTGCCCTGTCTAAATAGTGAAAAATCAGATATACTGATGACTGCTACCTCTCTGTATGGTAACTTAGCTTTGTGGTGTTTCCTGATATAAAAGTTCTAGGCAGGGTGGTATGGCTCAGCACTCCCAGACCTCTCTCTTACAGTAAGTGTAAGTCAAGGCCTTTTCAAAGCATGTCTTTCTACTGACTTTAACAGTTTTTGCATCAGACCTTAATAAAGTAACAAATGACTGGCAAATCTCTGAAGAGCATTAGTCGTGGTTGATCTGTATAATGGAAACAGGTTCAGTGGCATTTTAAGTTTATAGTTGTAGTGTTTGCTTTTCTGGGACAGCTTTTGCTTTTGAATGAGTATATTAATAGTTCCATTAAATGGTTTTAGAAATTTTATTTAACTGCAGCACAATAATTTTTATTAGACTAGAAAAAAGATTATGTGGTTTCAGAGAGGGAGCATAATTAGTTTTAACAGCTTTTGGTATTGTTTGAATGCAGTAGCATCCTTCTAGTAGTTTGTTCCCTTCTGTTGAAAGAAGGGTAGGGATGATGACTGTGTAAACCTATTGATGGGCACGTAATTTACACGTACATTTCTAGTTGATTTCTTTGTGTGTTGGATTCTTACATCATTTGGAGCTTTTCTATTGGATGCACTTCTTCAAAGTTTGTGTTCTGCCTGGTCTTCTGGAAGACCAGGCATGGAAGACCTCCACAGGTTTTCCTCCTGTCAAGCATTATGTTTGCATAATGCAGTGGTAACGTGGTACAAAGCAAGTACAGACCAGATGGGTAATACATGAGAAAGTAGTTTTATGGCATCATGTAAATGCCTTACCTACTTAGAGAAAAGGTGCATATGGCTTCCAGTATATTGTATATATTCTTAATGCACTTTTTTTTTATTTTAATAGGCAAATATTGTAGCTGAAACCATAGGTAAAACTGTTTTGTTGAGAGAACATCAAGAAAAACATGCTCAGAGGAGGGTGATGATCTCTTGTAGGGGCTTGTCCTTTTGTTCATTTAATTATTGACTATTTATTTTAGCAAAGAGAGAGCTATTATTGACCACAAATTCTCTTGAATTTTTGATTCCTAACAAGGTTTTCTACATATATGGAAGCTTTAAATGTCTGACTTCACAGAGCTATAGGTGATACATCTAGTTTTAAATGGCTTGTAGTTTAGCAGACCATAGCAGAGATTTATGTACATTCTTAAGATCTGTAATTTTGTTAAATCACTGTTATTCATTAAGACTTACCACAGAGACACACTGGACCTACACTCAGACTGAGGTGTGTTCATAAACTTTGTTTTGCAACTCAAAAGTAAGGTTTTTTCCTCATATAACGTGGGAGAGGAGCTGTGACACATTATGTATATGTGTTCTCCAGGCTGCAGTTGTGCTCCCTAAGGAAAATTTATCATGTACAGCAGCTCATCAGCCACCCTCCAGTAACTCTCCACGGAAATCTGCCAGCTCAGTTGTTCATGTAATCAATTAAAATTACTGGTTTATGTTAGCAAAGATTTAGTATTTGGAATTTATCATTACAATTTTCGTTGAAATCAGTTTGTCAGGGATTAGAGGAGCTTCTCTCTCCCAAGAAAGGCAAGTGTAAGAATGGTGACAAGTAGTTGGAGATAGTTGGGTTTTTTAAAAAGTGAGATCTGGTTATTTTTTAATTAAATCACCCCATCTGTTTTTGTATTCAACAACAAATCATGAAAGTAAAACAATATTTCCAATATTTCACATTCCATTTTGTTCATATAACCAAATTTGATTACTGTCTTCCAGCAGAAGCAGCTGATCTATATTTTATAATTTTTATGCTACGATAGGTAAAATCACGACTGTCATTAAGGATTAGGATTCATTGCTGTTCAAGACTGGGCACATCTATCACTAAGATTCCGAGTTTATCTTAATTTCTTTGTCGTACTGTCATGGGGATTTTGGTTAGGTTTTTGAGCCTGCCTTTTCTTCCTGTAGTTTCCACAATGAAGTGCAACCAGTATCTTGTTACCACAGAGGGATCCAAGTAGGAAAGATAATTCCCTCCACCAGCTGCTTGCCCCTCCCCTGTTTTAGGGGTGGGGATGTAAGCAGCAAGTTTTAGGGAGCATTAGGGTAAGATTATGTCCTCAGGTGAGATTCATCAGGCTTTACACTGATGCAGCTACTGTCAGAATTTTTACCTTTACCTCTGTCCAGTGAGGTCATGAAGTTGTTTCCAGATGTCCCAGAACATCCCATCAAACTTGAGTAGCCTATGCAGGGATTCTGATGGCTCTTGGTTTCAGGAAACTTTGATGCTATAGATTAAATACTTTATCTATTATGTAATTTGCTGTCTTGTTGCAGGTTGCACTTAATTGTAATCAGGTAATTCACTTCTGTCTCAGATGAGAAGCAAGAAAACTTAGGTGTAAGTGGAGGAGTGTTTGTGTAGCTATAATTACTTTTTGCTTATTTTACCTCTTAGGTGGTCCATTGCTTTCAAGTGTACCAGAGAACTCTTTGTCCATTTGCAGGCTCTAGGGCTAAGCAAAAGAATTGCAGCTGGATTTTAAGTCTTGCCTAGTTCCTTTGAAATATTGACCATTGTGAGATAAAGAAATCCCATTTGAAAAAAATCTGTTTATACATCTACCTTAACTTAGTACTCTGTACTCAATATGATTTAGAACAGTGATTTTCCACACATGAATTCTTTCCCATTGTGTCTAAGTATGGAGAAACTCAACCCATCTGGCCATTGTCAGACTTCATAGAAAGCAAGAGAACAATTCCAAATTTGATTTTTAATTCCCGAATTAATGGTTTTTTTAAAAAATAAGAGCCTATTTCCTGAGCTTTTGATTAAACTGAAATGCCTGGTTTTGAACCATTCATTCAAAGAATCAGTCCCGAGAGTTGCCTATATCAGATTTTAAAAATTTTGAATTGATAGTGAAGTGGAGGAACAGAATTGCTAAATGTTTTATATGTTGAATATTTAACTTCAAAATTTTCTAATTTCACTTTTAAAGTAGAATTAGGACAATTAAAACATTCTCTTCTCAGTCATTACCATTAATGTACCGTTAATCATTGTATCATTAAAACCTGTGATGGATCTATGTGATTTTATAAAGAAATCAATAAAGAAAAATAAAGTAGTTGTAAAACTGCAACTGAGTGAAATCCAGGTGCTCCAAGTTAGTGGCAAATGTCTTTAGGGCCAGGAGTTCGGCCCAGTGTGACAGAAATTCTGCCTTTTCATTACATCATGATGGCTGAAGGAAAAATATCAGTGCCTTTTGTAACAATACTTGAAAGTGTTTCTTTACAGAAATCTGGAGTACTGATTGAAATAAGGTATTTGAATTTCATGGTTTGGAAGTTTCACGGGGTTTAATTCTACTAATTCTGAAACTGTGAAGAGTTTACCTTCTTCATGGTTTTGAATTAAGTTGAAATTAAGGTGCTTATTTGTCAAGCTGCTTTTCTTACAAAATACTTTAAAATGTGGTTGTTTCTTCCTCTCAGTCTTGTGAACTTACTTCTGAAACTATTGTTACCTCTTTTGTGCACTTCAGAATAAACTTGGCAGGGAGACTTCAAACAGCGTGCTGAAATTGTGGTTTGAGTGAGATGGAAGGCAAAACATGCACTGATCTAGAAGGGCAAAGGTGATACTTCTTGGTATTTGAGGGGTGGAGGGTTGGTCTTTGTTTTGGGTTTTTTTTCATCTGTTCTACAGATCAGCAGAGATTCTTTTCATGGCAGAAGGTTGTGTGTAGAGGCAGCGAGGAAGGATCAGGTTCTCTCACTGTGAAACCATGTATCTTCATTTAAGTTCTGATGCTGGGATATCTAAAAATCTCAGCAGTGTAATACTAGTGAAGAAAGTCACATCTGAGCACTTAACACCTTAATAAATGTCTCCATGTGGTTTAAGAGGAAAGACAGGAATTTTTTTTCTTTTTCTTTGAGAATTTCAGTGTTGCTTTGTGGACATTGGGATATTTTTGTCTGCTCTTTGAGATACTAAACCTTCGTTTTTCCATTACATGTGATGCAAAGCCTTTTAAAAGATGTGGTTTATATTTGTGGTTACAAAATATGCTAAGCATTAAAACGAAAGCACTTCATCTACAGCTGATGTAGGTAATGTAAATTCTTCTGTTGCCTGACTGTTCTTAACAATATTCATGGATTATGATCCTTTTTAAATAAAAGGTAAATGTCTTGTGATATTATAAGAACAAATAAATACAGTGTAGAAGAAATGTCAGCCTCGGATATCAATCCAACAAATAAACAGTGATTAAAGAATGTACGCTTTTCTCCTGTGAAACTTCTTTCTCCTTGTAAAGCTTTTTCATGGAAAAATAAGCATTAAAAAAATTTATGTTTTCTTCCAAGGCTGGATTTGTCTGTCAATCTTTGTATGAACACAGATCTAGAAGTTATGAAATGTGTCTGCTGTAAGGTGTTACATCTTGATTAAAATCCTTTAATTAAGAAATACTCTTCATTTCACACTTCATTTTCCCCCTGGCTCTGCAGCCGTGGGTGTCAGACATTCCATCAGTGACCCGAGGGTCAGTAAAATAGTGTGAGTCGTGAGAACTCCCCACCTTCAGGGTTACCCAGGGGTCTGAAAACAAGAGATCTGGGTTTATTTCGTTTCTCTACAAAAGAGAGATTAGAAGTGGTGTATTGCATGAGTCATAGGCTGCCTGACCGTGGCCTTCAGTTTATTGCAGAGATCCCACTGCAAACACAGCTACTGGAATAGATCTCTGCACTGGGCTCCACTTGAAGCAGTGTTTGTTAGCCTAAACACCACTGGGCCTACCACTCTTTGTGGTACCTGTTTAATAATAATTATGGTTGAACCATTTTTAACAACAGTTTTTAAGAAATATACTCAGATAACAGTTTTTCAGCTTGGACACAGAACACGTGGTTACAGAATGCTAATCCAGGCTCTCCTGTGCACCAGTACAACTGAAGACAGACATCAACATGCCTATGAAGATAATCCCATATTTGTGCTGCTCATCATGTTTTTATTGGTACAGTGATTTCTCATTAATGAAAGCATCCTATGCCAAAAAATCGGTAATATCTACTATAGGTGAGCCCCAGAAGTAGTAGTGTAACTATGTTGATTTTGTGTTGTTTCCCCCACCCCACTAAAGATTATTCCTCATGTCTATTCATCCGTTGGAATATTTAAAACATTTTTACACGTTACTTATAAAACTCAACTAACTTTCTTTGATTCCCATCCAGATGAAATATATTCAGCTTAGCCTGATGCAGTAAGTCTGAGTTTTACAAACATTCAAAAATTATTTTTAATTTCTGTTTTCTTATAAAGCGCATCAAAAACTTCTGCCAAGACTAACTCAGCGAAGCTTAGGCAGGGTCTCAAAATCTTTCAGCGTCTTAGTGAGCATTTGCCTCAGATCATAAAGCTGAACATTTGCTGGCTGTCAGTCGTCATCTCTGAAATGACACCTTCAGCCCCAACTTCTAAGTATTCTTAAAACAGTCAGCCTGTGTGTACGCAGACTGGCACATTCCTCGTGCAAACAAATTTGTGTATAATGGCAGCTGTGGGACTGAGCTGGGCTCCTGCATTTTGCCAGAGCCCAGGGAGGCACTGCCCAGTAGAGATTTCTGTGGTGACAAAGTCGCTGCTCTAGGAAACTATTAATTAGGTTGTTTCTAAAGGCAAGGGAAAGGAGCCTTTCATGTTAAAATCGCTAACGGGGCCAAGGTATTTTCTTGTTGTTGCAAGGCATTCTGCAATCTCCTGCCAAGAGGAACTTGGGTAAATGGGGCTTTAAAAGGCTCTTCTCCCTGCCCTGTCCTTCCCATCTGAAGTAGTTTCCTGTGGCTGTTCAAAATCATGACCCTGCTGCCTAATCTGAATTTTATCTTTTTTTGCCTGTCACCCTGGTGTTTTGCACACACAATCCCACCAGAAGCTGAAAACAATACCTGATGGCTATTTCATGTGCCAGTGTGTGTAGCAGAGTTCTATCCTTGATGTAACTGGCCTTTATGGAGCTGATTTGTTTTCCTTTGCCCTCTTCTTTAGGCACAAAAATCAAAGCAGAGGTGAGTATTTCAGCCTTTGCATGTAAAAGAGTAGCCTTCTAAAGCATTCCAACAGTGGCACATTTCTTTTTTTGGAAAAGCATTAGCATGTTGTAACCCTTTGTTAAATCTCTCCGTAATTTTTCCATCTCAGGCATTCCCTTAAGCAGAGTACATGCAAAGACCAGTGCTCAGAGCTCCCAGCAAGAGCTCAGGGTGTAAATAGTGTTTAACTAGTGCTAAACTGCAATATTAAGGAGTAGTTAGGTGTTAATGAAGAGGTTGTTTCAGTAAAACCAAATACTTAGGTAAATTTACCCTTGTGCTGTATATTCATTCATGAATTCCATCTGCCATGGAACTGCAATGTTGTTTTTGAAGCTATCATTGCAAATATTGCCCTTGAGAACTAAAAAGTTGTTCTAACACCATTCTGTTTACTAATGACAGGGCAGCACATCAGGTTTGGTATCTGCTTTATACAGCAGAGCTTGGGAAAGCACATCAGCTCCCTGGTGAAGTGCACCCTGCATCTGAGACAACAGCACGCAAGTGTGACGTGTTGTAAGCAGAGCAAAGCAGAGTCAGCAGTTTAATGATGTGTTTATTGATACAATGATTTATCATTAATGAAAGCATTAATGTGTGTCAGCAGCATCAAGGTCTCTGCGTCTTCCCTCCCTCTCCTGGTGTACACTGACACACTTGACGGGAGCTGTGATGTTTTCCAAGTTATCTGGGGTTGATATGACGGCACAGAGATCACCAAGAATGAGAGATGTAACCATTTTGCAGAATCTTAATACATTCAGCAAGTGGAATCACAGAAGAAAATAAAAAATGGAAATGCACCAAGCAATGCATAGGAGCATCAATGACTAAATGGCAGTTAAATCCAAAGGAAATTTGCTGTGGGCTACTGAGAAACCCATCATTTAAATTTTCCTTTATGCAGTTGAGTGAAGAAGATGGATTTAATTTGCATTTTTGCCATGTTCTTAGCGGTGGAAGTGCTATAAAGTGCTGCTGTTATCGCAGATTCAAATCAGACGTGCGTGTGGCAGAACTTCTTAGACCTTACAAGGACGGTGCAGAGGGTGTAATGGAGTCTCAAGCAGAGAGTGACAAAAATTTGCCTCACAAATTCACTGCTAAGTGTAAAATGAAACATTTACTGAATCATAACAGGATTAGTTATGAATTTAAACTAGCAAGGGATTAAAATTTTTATTTACTTGAGGATGCTGAACAGAACGATTCTTTTACAGGAGGCTCAGACTACATGCAAGTGCACGAAATTCAGGAAAAATGCAGATCTTAACCAAGAGAAGTGCAATAGGATGGATGGTATATTTTATATAGAAGAGTAAGCATCTTTTTTCCAATATATAGCAAGCTTGCTGATTTAAAAAAAAATATGTATTTTTAGATGTTTGCAAGAATAACAGTGGATGGAGAGCCTCAGCAGCTTTGTGACCTGCCTCTGGTCTGTCTAAGTGCATCACCTGTAATCACAAGATGTTAGTTACAGAATCTTGTCCTGCTCTTACCTATCCAAAATGTGGCTTTGTCAAGTGTTGGTTTCATAGCCTGAAGGGTGATGATGAAACATGGCTTTCTTGAATTCAGCTGTCAGCTCTCTCTAATATCGAGCATATGCTGCACCTTCGCAGATTTCGGTGTGCCTCACAGCATAGTCATTTCCTATCTGCAAGGTATTTCCCAAGATTTTTTCAAGATACCAACTCCAGCCTCTTTTTATCCGTCGGCACCATTATCCACTATTATTCTTGCAAATATTGCACAAAGTACCTCTGAGGCTTCCCTTAATTTTTAAAAGGATTTCCTCATCAATGTTGTCAAAGCCTTTCTTTCAACAGTGAACCAGTGTCAACATTTAGGCTTTCCTGGACTAAAATCACTCTTAAACCAGCAATGTCTCACTGTTTGCAGTCAGATTCTGACTGTTGGCTGTGCTGTACTGTTTGTTGCCTCGTGTTGTCCATCAGTTGTAGGATCTCAGTGTAAGCTCTCTGTGGACATGGGACTTTCTTATTCCTGTGTGTTTACGCAGCACCCAATGCCATGGAGTTTTTCCTGAGAAGTGTGGTAATATAAATGGTAATAACAGTTGGTATGACAGGTTTATTTCCCTGGCAGTGCTTAATCTTATCAAAACAGCTTTTAAAATTGATTTGGGAGCCAGGAAAATAAAGCGAATGACTTGTACAAAATTTGAATTTCTGCTTCCATCGTTCCAGTGTCTTGCTTTTGCCCTGCTGTTTGTAGACAAATCTCCCACTGCTCGTTCCACTGAAGCTTCAGCAATGTATAAGCAAATAAATGAAAAAAAAAACTTTCCTGAACTGAGGGGATTATGTCCTTAGTCTAGGAATTCCGGAAGGGCACATGGAGTTCAGCTGAGCTGGATGTCTCTCCAGGTTCAAGTCCTAAAGGATCCAAAGATTTTATCATGCTTTTTATAGGGATGTTTGATCACATGCTGAAAAAATGTTGAAGTTGGCTAGAGTTTCATCTGTCTTCACGATATTTATTGGCTTTTTTAGTTGGTTCCAGTGGATAAAGAGACAATTGGTTGAAACAGATAAAAAGCAAAAATAGTATCAGACATAGGGTTTGATCCTGAACTGTGACCTCAGACTTCCACCAAAATACAGCAGATCCTACTCATGTGAGGGAAGGGATGGGCCTTCCCATTGCAGGCTGTTGCAAAGGGCACATTTGCAGTGTCTGTAGGAGGTGAGGTTTGTGGCTATATTTAATTCCCATAGAAGTACACTCCATGGCTTTGGAGAAGCCACAAGGCTGTCTCCTGAACTGCTGGTTGTTACATACTTATATGGAAGTCTGAGTGACTGATCAATGATCTTTCTTAACACCTACCTGACTTTTTGGCACTGAATGTCTGGAAGATCGTGAACAATTTCCTTAATTTAACTTGAAGGATTAGGAATAGGGCAGAAGGATTGAATCTCCTCAGCCACAGGTCTTCTCTTCTGTATAAGCTGTTCTTTCCATGTTTCTCCACACTCAGCATCAGAAGCTGCTTCCCATCATCCCCATATTCTTTGCTACACGTGCTACCAGTGCTCCTGCAAAGTGGTACAGGATGGAGTGGAAGCTCTCATCTCCCTCTTTTAGGGAGAGGCTTTTGGCTGTTTGGACCACAGCTTGTTTCTTCTGAAAGAAGACAATAGTCAAAGT